TGAGATGTCTGCTTATGTTTTATATGTCTTGTCAAGAAATCACTCTCCCTTGCTTTTGATACAAGATATAAAGATATGTCTTTTACAAAGCAGGGAACCTGTGCTGTATTTCAGACTATTCCACATCAAAGTTAGTTAAAGGCAGCGGTTAGTTAAGGGCAAGTGAGGCCAAATTGGACACAACATCTTTACTCTGTGTAGTTTTGCCAACTGCGCTTTGGAACAAAGCATAACAATTGCTGGCCTTTACTTTTGCAGATTCTTCATCTCTCCATGTTTCTGTTGCTCCACAGTTTCAGTTTCCCCAGTGCCAACTGTTGTCATCCTGTCTGTATAGGTATCATTCCCCAGCTGCCTTAGGAGTTGCAGGGCTGTCTTATGCCTTGGTATATCACACGTCACTGTTATTCTCCCTCTGGGAGTACTTGGTCACATTGTTTTGTCCTTCTATACTGTTGACAAGTACTATTAACTTAGTCCTCACAATAGCACGATTTGTTGGAAACATTACAATTGGAAATTTGCAGATTCTACCACTTAAAAATAAGTGAGGTTAGGCTTGCTGAAAATTCCTGCATAACTCATAACTCTGTACAACTTAGAGTAAATCTTGGACAAGTAAATTAATTATTTCTAATTCTTTCATGCTAGAATAAGCTGATGTTCATTGCTTAAAAACAATGGAATAGAACCATATGGGACTTTCCACTTCACTAGAGTGACAGCTAACTCCTGGGTACTCCATTACCCAGTGGAAACCTCAAACTGGGTACCTGGAAATATTCCATAAGATGGAATATTTTCATGGCCAAATAAATAATTGAAAATCACCTGTTCCAATAATTAACACTCTTTTTTTCTATCTGGCTTTAAGTCCATTTTACACCCAGTTTGCTCCTGGAGCTGGCCACAGAAACTAAACTTCATGTTTGCAGAATAAGTAAAAAAAAAAATCTAGAGAATCATGTAGGATCACTGCCTTTTTAATTGAAGGAGCTAAATACTATCTTAGAAAACCTATGCTTGGCATGTCCTTATAAAAGAATTCCTGTGAGCAAATCCATAGACAATCAGTTAAACCCACTTAGTATGTTTGATTACAAATAACTTCTTTCTTAAACAGTTTATGGGTAGATTCAATTTAAGATATCAGAATCTGAACTACTAAGGAATTGTGGCATATTACTGAAAGTGTGGATATCCACAGTAAGTTAGGTGATGAGCACAATGAAGTAATAAAGTTGCAGGGAAATTTGACTTCACTCAGTGAAAGGTTTAGATGGTGAACACCAACAAATGATGGGAGCACTCACATGAACAATAGGTTAAAATTAATGATTGTGATTGACTATGTATCCAGTAAATACTATCCATCTTGTATGCTGAATGAAGTAATAATGTGGTTCATAAGGACCCTCTCATAATGTGTATGCAGAAAGATTTTGAATTAAAATTGGTTAAGTAACTTTATATCTAGTACCTTCTGAATTCTACTTGTTTAACTTAGAAACCTTATTGAACTTACTAAATTAAGTGAATTTAATCAGTTGTATCATTTGGACTAGGAAAATAAAAGGGCAGAATACAGACAAGGCTTGCATTTACTTTAAGTCAAGGGATCCAGATCTTATTGTCCTTGGAATTCTATGCAAAGTTGAAAGTTATGTTCTTATCCTGGTTGAAAAAATACCTGTCTTCAAAATAAGGACAAAATGTGAGAAATGTTATAGAATTTTAAAGTTTAAGTAAGAGAACACTGGAAAGGATTATTAAACAAAGAAAATGACATTCTAGAATTAATGAAGTATAGAAAGAACAGTTAAAACTTGCAAGATAGAAGAAGCAGAGTCAAGTTACACATCACAAAGGAATTCATAATCAAAAGACAGGAAGATTCTTTAGTTTTATCAATAAAATAAGGGAGGTTATTCTCAATTGGAAGTCGTCAGAATAGATAAGTTTGTTCCACCACTAAATTAATTTCTTGCTTCAATTTTGTGGCACTTGTGCTACATTTTTGTAGAACTAATGCATGCTTGTTCTTGTTTGTTGTTTTTTTTTAGTTAACAAGTTAAATGTAGTAGTACATCTTAAGTAAACTGATACTGCATTCTGTGAGAAATTCCTGGTTAGCATAGGCAGAACAACTGGTTCAAGCAGAGACTACGTTGAGTGATTATTAAAAGTGCATTAGAATGTCAGGAAGATGCTAGTGGTACTCCTGCAGGTGTGGACTAAATGCATTCAGATATAAATATCTTGAACAACCAGCCTGAATAATTGCAGTGAAATAACACTGAATAGAAAGAATTACAAATTCATGCCTTTGGGGTTTAATAACTGATTCCAAACATCATCAGTAGAGGATGAGAAAGATTTTTGCATTTGTTAATCATAAATGTTTATAATCCACAAGTGGGATTACAATAATTGAAAAGGCAAATTCAATCACTGTATCTACTATGCAGAGCATCCTTCTCATACCGAATATATATTTGTGATTATCTTTGAATTCACCGATAGAAAATGGGAAGCCTTCAGGAGATCTGATATATAGTTCTTAAAATGAGATTATTCTCTTTTGGGAGCCCATGTTATGCAGCTTTAACTGCTGTTGAATTAAAATTTTACAATTCTGTTTAATTTTTTAAAGACAAACCTGATGTCTTTTGTCTAACAATCCTCATAAATAAACCACTGTACAAATAACATCTGTAAAATACCTGTGCAAAGTAGATGCTTAGTATTATCCAGCAAACCTCATCCATAGGTGAGCAGTTATCTGATTGCTGTTGAATGCAACAAGAGTAAGTTTTGTGCTCTCATTATGTGTGCAAGTAAGGAACAAGTAAAAGCTTGTAACATAGGAAGAGTGCTATAGTGAGCTATAAAGGACTGAGAAGTTGATGGTGCAACTTCAAGAATGAGAATGCTTCTTAAACCCTGAGGGAGTAAAATCCTTTAGATGCTAGAAGAAGCAATAGTTGACAGTTCACCTACAAGGTATCTGAGCCTTTTCTTATCACAGATGAAGAGCATAACCCAAATGAGTTATTTATGGTGATGACACAATCAATCCGGTCTTGATAACAGACAGTCTTGCCTTGTGTAAAGAGTGGCAGGTTTGGATCAAATAACCTCTTGAGGTTCTTTCCAGATGAAATCTTTTTAAGGGTCCATAGCTGTAAAATCAGATATTGTGTATCTACAATGCATCTGTGCAAGCTCTAACTAGTTTCTTAATGATTTTTTTTTAATTTACTACAACTTTTAAAAATATATATTTGCAATGACATTTCCTTATTCGTTGTTTATTTTCATTCAGTTGTAGAACAAATATGTATAAACTACCACCAGTGTTATTAAGACCTTTGGAATCTACCCTCTGTACAAAGAGGAAAAATCATGTAGATAGATAGAAAGGATATAAATTGCTTTGCTATTTTTATATTTTGCAGTAAAGCAACTTTGGCTAAAATGCTAATCTTGTTACAGAATATATATTTGACCAAGCAACTGCGAAGAGCCATATCAATAATTTGAGACAGGTACATGCAAATTTCAAATCCAGCCCAGCAGTAATCTATAGAAATATGTCCACAAGTTTCTTACAGAATTATAGAATGAGATGAATGTGTCAGATCTTAAAAAGGAGAGGCGTAGAATTTTTTCTGTAATGGTTCTATGCTACATTTTTTCCTAAGCATTAGGGTAAACCTAGTAACAGATGTTTTCTACCTGTTCTGGTTGATGCTAGATAGAAATAAAAAACTGCTTAGGATAAGCAGTTCTACAGTAGCTTCGTGCTAGTTTCTTTTAATAAATTTCATAACACAAGAAAATTTTATGGGCTAAGAGAAAAAATATCTGCTTTGAGGATGATGAGAATTTTGTGACCTGTGACGTGCAGCCAATGAAAGAAGTTCTGCATCATTCAAAGCCCTGGTTGTGTTGCAGAAGATGCCTTTGTTTGTGTGATTGTGAGTCACAGGTGGAAGATGATCTACAGATTTTCGGAAAATTTTCCTCGTAAGTGGGATATCTTCCAGAAACTAGTGTGGCATAAGATACAGCATTGGATTTTTGTCTCTCCCTACTGGAAGCACTTTCTCAGATTTTTGTCTCAGGCCTCACAAAGTCATCTTTTTTTTTTTTTTTTCCAGTTTGCCTACAAGACCTACGTGCATATCATTCTATGATGTATTTACAACAGTTAAGCTATTGTCTCCTTTTCTTTTGCTCATCTGCTGCTGTGACTTGTATCCTTGCCTTTCATAGGTTAGTTGTATACTGCTAATTACATTTACCTCTGTCAGCCTCTGTTAAAAGTTCATCAGTGCTTGCAGGCTTTTCCATGAGATCTTACCATGACAAAAGTAGAGTCTTGTCCTCTTTCATGCTTATAATATCTGGTTCTGTTAGAGAGAGTGTGTGATGTTGTAGAAGGATATAGACCACAGTCCAATTCACGTTCCCATAAAAAGGGAAAATGAAGTCTGATGTATTCATCAGACAAGCCAGCTTGATGAACTCTTGTAACTCACTGAAGGAGTATGTTGCCTGGATAAAATCAGCAGACCACCAATGATACTTAATCTAAATTCACAGCTCGAATGTGGCACTGCATGATTAGCAGAGCATTGTAAAAAGAATTCTCTCTACCCTTTCCATTTCTATAATTTGCTGCCAGATTTCCAGCCATTCTTCTCTACTGAATGCTCACTCTTTAGTTTCCCCATACAGGTGGCTACCATTTGTAAGGCTATCAATTTCTCTACCCGTTTTAAGCAGCTATTATTTATGCCAGTTCCTGCTTATCATTCTCTTTATTCGTTTAGACAAGAACAGCTACAAAACATTTTAAATAGCTTGAGATAAAGGTTAAGCTTAAAGATCACATGTTATCATGCACAGCTTCAAAATAATGGGTTAAACCTGCTTCAACACAATGTTCTGAAATCGTGTCTCTAATGTGCATTTAATTTGTGCCACTCTTTCAGATGTAAGAAACGTGAAAACATGAACCAAGCTAAAAAGCTATGGCCCATAAAGAAAATCATCTGCGGTAACGTAAAAGGTACGTGCTGCACTTTTTTCACCAATCTTCATATGCAAGATTGTACAGCATTGAAAAACACACTTTTGAAAAAGACTTTCATGTCTTTAACTTTTAACAATAGAATGTAACAATGACATAAGTCTCACTGCAGAAATGTTATTGTTGGAAGTCCTGCATTTATCCTATAGATAATTTTTAGAAGTTTTTGCATTAGAATTAATGGTAGGCTCACAGCCCTTGTTACAAACAATAAATTATCACTACATGTCTTGCCATTGAAATAGATTACTTAGCCATTCACCATTTGCCATGGGATGCTCTCCAGATGTGTTGCATCTGAATTTGTCTGAATTTTCACTTGAGTGCTATGAAGTTAATCTGTTGTTTAGCACACCAAAAGAATTGTTAAATATCTGCTAAACATTATACCAGTTTGCAGTGTCTTGGCGTAAGGGCTTTTTTCTTCTCTTTCTTCCCTCTCTCCATTCCAGTGATCCTTAACAATACCCTACTGTTGCAATGCTATTCTTTTTCTTCCTTCAAACTATAATTTTATGCTAATCCTTGAGCTGTTGAAGAGGGCATTAGCTTTCAGCTAATTTTTCTCACTTGTTGTCCTAGGGAAACTTTACTTACAACCTGGCACAACCTGAACTTTGCACAAATATTGCCTCTTTCTTCCATACTTAAAGCAGTTTTAAAATTTGGTGGAGATTATACAGTAAGAATGCATGGTCCTTCAGTCTACTCTCTATCTCACAATTCAATTGCTGAGAGGACTGAACTTTCATCTCTATGTTGGAATATGGCCCGAATTCTAGATTTCAAAGCAACTAAAAGGAAGACAATCATTAAGACAATGTTGCCTCAAATCCCAGTTCAAATAATCTCAAAGTCTATGCAAAACACAAATGTTGACCTCACAGAATGTCCCAACCTCCAGAATAGTTCACAAAGCTCTGAAAACACTCTCAAACTTATTTCAGAAACTTCTTTTTTATTGTTAGTAAAATATCTCTTGGTTGCCATTAGTTTTGCTTAAATCCCATGGAAATATTTGGAGCTTCTTGGTGTATACAGCAATTCAGAAAAATGGCTCATCATCACAGTTTAGCTCAGTCTGCAGATTGCTTGTGTACTTAGTTCCCGCTTATTTTTTTCAGGTTCACTATCAGGCTAGACAGCTCTGTCAACTCAAAAAGACATGCTTTTTTCAAACTATTGATCTCAGTTGCTCTTCCAAATCCTTTAGTATTGGCTCTTAGGATTACTATAATGCTATAATCATTCTGTTAAGGATTCAGATTTGTGGTGGACTAAAAGATGGTAACATCAAAAGGATTGAAATGCCCTTGAAGCAATCAATTTTTGTTCATCAAATACAAATGCTGAGAGGCTGCTTTCAGCTAATAATTTATAACTGAATTAATGACACATGGCTTCTGTCAGTAATGGTCTCCTCTCTGGGATCTTTTTTTTCCTTTTCCCCTTTCTGTGATCTGATTTCATATTCTGGGAAAGGAAATCAGAGTGCTAAAGAATTTAATCAGAAATGAGGAGTGTCTGAATTTAAAAGCTTAGCTTTCTTTCTCCAAGCTGAGTGCTGCTTAAACCTTTATCTTCCAATTTTGGAAACTTGTATTTTTAAGCCAATTCTTGTGGAATTACATTTCCACGTTTTTAAATTGCTGTTATTATTATTCTACTTATGCCACACACAAAGAATTACTGAGTTGTGGCAAGGACTGCACAAATGTTTTAAGTCCCTTATTTGAGTTTTTACGTTATCAAATATCTTGTTTTATTGCAAGATTTTCACATTATTGGAATGATGCCAGATAATGTGCATTAAGCAGTTCATCCGTTCTCACTTCAGTTTTGTCTCCTTTCTGCTCCTATGCTGAATTTCAGAAACAGATTCATAGTAAAACTGCCTTTTTTAAAGTTTAAAAAAGTTTAAAGTGTAAAACAAACTTATGGTTGGCCCTCATTTCCAGTCACAGTCCTATTTCTCCTTTTTTTTTTTTTTTTTTTTTTTTTTGTTGTTGTTGTTGTTGTTACACTTCTAATGACTTGAGCTAAGCCTGTTTGTTCAGAAAGGCTATCCAAAGCTTTTTTCTTTTTTTCTTTTTTTTTTTTTTTTCCCCCTGCATTCTGTGTGGAAAGGGCAATATGCCCTGAGCCCACCATCTGTCAAAACATTGTAAACACAAATAGCATCAAGAAGCCAACATCAGATAGGTTTATGGAAAAGGGGAAAAAGGGAAGGAGAAAAAAAAAAAAAAAAAAAAAAAAAAGGAGAGAGAGAAAGGAAAAGAAGGATTTTATAGAGGAAAAGACATGCACCTGAATAACTACTAAATTATTGGACACCACTGTAAACTGATCTCAGGCTCCTGGTGTTGTCTCTCTTCTGGATTGATTAAGGACAACATAACAACATCAGATGCACGCTGAGGTTGTTTAGTGATGCAGTTCTCTTACAGTGTGGTCCTTTTTTATAGCTGTGGAACATGTCAGTCAGAGTTCGGGACTGGTTAAGAAGAGAGAGGATTTTTGTGACAGAAGGGAAAAAAGAATATGGTGTTAGCTTTAGGAATGAAATATTCCATTCTTCTATTTATTACCTCTTCCTATTTCTTTGTGAAGCACAGATATCCCTAATCACTACGGTAATTCTTTAAGTGTTTCTTTCATTTTCTTAAATGTATCACATAGAAAAATTTACAATTGTATTTACATCCATTATTATTTGAAAATTAGCAGACAATCTCTCATGTTCTCACAGGTAATTTTCTAGTTATGTTTCCCTTCATACAAATCACTTGATCTTTAATTTATTCTTTTCTCCATTTCCTTTCTCTTTCTCCAGTTTTCCTTCACATCCTCCTCCCTCCCCTTCACATTCCCTGCAGCTTATAATTAGTTTAGAAATAGATCAAGTTACTTATATTTAATAGCTTAAAGTACTTAGGGTAATTATGTTATAGCATTTTATATTCAATTAATATAAATCTTCAGCTGTGGCTGATCTTCAGCATAGGTATTCCATTGCAACTCATCTGTTGTGCTTGTGTATTAAAAGTTTATGTGGCATGGATATCATTCAAACAGCACTAAACTTCTTGGCACACCAGCTGGTTTTCAGAATTTTAAAATCTTTAATAGGAAAAATAAAGAAAACATGCAGAAACTAGGCTCAAGGCAGTACAAAAAATGTTTAACCAGAAGTGAAATATTTAAATGCAAATGAACAAGGATAGCACCCTCAAATAAACTGAAGCTAAGCCTTACACAAGATCTCACAAAATATGGCCAATGGATGAAAAAAAAACCAAACATAAAATTTACACTGAAATAGTAATTTAAAAATGCTAGAACTTAAAAGTGTATAGACTGACCCAGCACAGTACTTGTGCTTGATAACACTTAAAAAAGCAATGTAGTTCAAGATGCTTTAAATAAACTGTGACTTATTCCAAATAAGAGTTACAAAATTACTGAACAACCATAATAAAAATGATCAATAAAAAAAGCTTTTAAACTAATTGAAAACATCATAACATTAAGCTTTATAACAATCAGACTTTTTTTTTTTTTTTTTTTTTTAAACTGCCTTACATGCAATTTTGGCAGGGAAAATTTTCTGAAATCCCCTCCCACTCTGTGGTTTAATGCAGTCCAAATGTCCTCACTACAGAGAATGGAGCAAAGACATTTCCCTTCATAGAGATAGCTTATAGTTTGAACAGCTCATTTATCATAAATACCTGGAACTTTTCTGATTTCGTCTTCCAAGTAGTCAGGAGTTTTCATCTACTTTTTCTTCATTGGTTTTCCCTTCTGATAGATTTTCAGTTTTGCTTTGAGATGAAAATAAGCCAGTGGTTATACTTCAGATATGTGAAAAAGGCCATGAAGACTAGACTCTCAAAAGGCCTCAAAGATGTCAAGTACTCTTTGGCTCCAGAACAAAAGGGAGAAATGAGTTTCTTCACTGAGAGGTTTGGTATACCCGGGATCTTTTTGTTGTGCATTGGTGTCAGTTTATCTCTGGTCTCCTTACTTATGTTTCTGGACTATGGCAGTGCCAAGAATGATGGTGACTGTAGCCAGCTCCGGGTACAGGAACAATTAGTAGTTACTGCTGCAGTAAGATAAGCTGAGAAGAAGAGCCCACTGCCGTCACTTTGCACAAGCTATAGTCCTGGTAAGGCCACTGGGATTTGAGCTACGTGAGATAGGCCCATCCAGAAACAGTAAATCTGACTTCCCCTGGGCTATCCTTTTTATCTCTTTTTATTACAGGAGCTCCTATCCTGAGACCTCAGTGCTGCAGAAGGAAATGTTGCCCATACTACTGGAAGCTGGCTCCAATTACCAGCCTTTAATTGAGAAGCATGAAGATGCTGAGATACTATCATCCTACAGACACATGGGTATGAACTTGAAATGCGAAACTTCAATGGGATGGTTCACATGCCTGAAGTTCAGTTCGTGTACAACTTCCTGCCGGAAGACCGGTCATAAAATTTCTGAGTACTTCAACGATTTAGGGGGCAATGGGCATCAGAGGATTAGGACACAGTATGTGTGAACACATAAGAAAATAGAACAAAACAGCTTCATCAATAAGACAATAAAAATGCTTCAATATGTTGTTTATCCCATCATCTCTTGGCACTGTTAACTGTTAGCATCTCAGTGACACCGAAGCCTTTTTTAATGATAAGCTTCAGAAAGTTTATAAAGCAAACATCAGGCTAGTGGAACAGTACACAATATTTTCCCTGCCTTGACCTAATTAGTGAGTAGGCATTTAGTACTTAGTTAACTCACACAACTGAGAACTTTTATAAGAAAATGATCTGCCCAGAGAGGTTGTGGATGCCCCATCCCTAAAGGTGTTCAAGGCCAGAATGGATGGGGCCCTGGGTAGCCTGGTCTAGTATTAAATGTGGAGGTTAGTGGCCCTGCCTGTGGCAGGGGGTTTGGAGATTCAGAATCCTTGGGGTCCAGTCCAGTCCTGGCCATTCTGTGATCTAAAGCTTTTTAATGAATCCTCTCTGTCAGTAAACAGTCCCAAGTGTTACGGTTGATATCAAGCAGCTCTAAGTAGTTTGAAAAGTGTTAATAAAACACTTAAAAAAAAAATCAAAAACAAAAACTTCCTGATGTCTCATCTGCTAGAACAAGTATACAGCAGTCTTTACTTGGCCTGTATTGTGCATCCTTTGTCTGTAAAGGGACAATAGGAAATGCTGAAAACATGTATTCAGTTCTGTGCAAAGGATGAAGCCCAGGCAGGCAGTAGCACTATGAGGAGAGAACACTTTATTCATGTTAGAGACAGGTAGAAAATTCCATGTTTGTTCAGTTGAACATAGGTGAGAAGGAAGCATTCTCCTGTCAGTCTACTGTGTGATATGCCAGAGGCTGTAGCTGTGGAAGAGTCTTCATTCAAAAACCTGATGTTTGGAACAAAACAGGAAATGTCTCAAAGACCTTCCAGGTTTCTCATGTGTTAACAAGTGTAATAATTCATAAAACATTGTGTTGTCTCAAATAAATGAATGTAGTTTTATGCGGTCAATAGATTTAGAGGTTTATATTTGTTAAGCAAAATAAAACAGCAGCTGTTGCTTTTTTTTCCTATTTTAGTTGTATACAGTCTAAAATAAAATTCCATTATTTTAAGAAGGATGTCCCATCTCTAGATATTTTCATTATGTGTAACGAATGAACCATAACATTTCATCCAGTAATGTTAGAAAGAACTATGACCCCTAAGCTGGAACTATTTTTGGGTAAGACATATAATTAAGCCTTAAAATAATGTAAAAGCCAAACACAGACGAGAACTCGGTAAAAAAAAAAATGAAGTTATACTCATGAAGTCCATGAAGTTATACTTCAAGGACTTTAAAATTTTGGCAGTCATTAATTTTTCTAGTCGTGTAACCCAACAAATTAAGAAAGATATTTTTGTTTTTCATTATATGTTATGATAATATATAATTTTCATTATATATTATGATAGTATTGTTTTCAAATAAGCACCAGAAGAATAATTTGAATTTAATATATCAATAACATAAAATGTGGGACAAATCAATGAAAAAGAAATGATAGTGTTAATGTAGAGACTGGTTTCTGAAGAGCTAAGGCAGCTCAATTCATCAGTGGAAGCATTTTATTTCAGTATTTGGTTATGGAATTAGGGGCAGGGTGTGATGTCATTTTCAGTTGTATGAATCCACCAGTTCTACCTGAACAGCTCCATGTGTGCCTTGCATTTTATCACCAGCTAATAGAAGCTGGTATGTTCCACTGCAACACACACAATTTCTATAAACTAAACTGCATGCTTTTGAAAGCCAACTCAAAGCAGAGCTTAAATCCTCCTGATAGCACTTCAGCAACCACCAGCATAGCTCTGATTTAACAGCTTGCTTGCATTTGCCCTGAGTTATCTTTGTAAGGATCCCAACACACTGAGTTCATTCTTTGTATTTTTCTATTGATTTTTCTACAACCTGTGTAAAGTAGAAGTATCATTTAGGCTCTTTGTTTAACTGCATTTCCTTGTGTTTTCCTCCTTAATCTTTGCAAATGGAGATCTTCCCAGTTATGGTAGTATGTTTGTTATCACTTCTTGTCACGTGATATTTATCTAGCTGTGACTGAGATACCACTGGTGTTTCTGAAACAGTGCTGGGTTCCTCTGTTATCGTTCTGCAGGTGTTGGATTTGCCATCTCATGAACTCTGGAATCCTCAGTAATTGTTGTTAATCTCCAAAACCAGCAACTGGGAATTTCCCCAGAAAGTTACCTATTGATAAACTGTTTGTATTCTTATTACAGGCAGAAAATATATTCAAAAATTTAAGAGGGGAAAACAGCTCACTAAATTATTTTTCTGCTTGGTTGGCTAAATCAACTTGACAATTCAAGTCCTAAAATGCAAAAGGAAATTATCAGGAATTATAACAACGTGGGACTGAAGCATTCTGTCAGTTACCAGGTTTGTGTCAGTAAGTACAACTGGTCTGTCCAAGAGTCTATTTTCAAATTATTATAGAAAATATAGATCATACTATTTAAATCTGCTAAGTAGAGTTTGCCTCCACAAATAGGAGGAGCTGATACAAAGGAATACCTTTTAACGTTTTCATATTTCATCACAAGTAGGATGAACAGAATAAAATATTGTGTGCTGTTTTTCTCCAGAATTGCACTAAGTAACTTATTAATTGGAGACAATAAAAAAAGGAAAAATAGTGACTTAAAAGAACTAAATGTTGCCCAGATATTGAACATAATATAATCTTATCCCAGAGTCCTAAACATGATTGTTCAACCATGTGTGTATTCTGCTGGAGCAGTATTTATTGTTACTTTTTCAAGCACACAGAAATTATCTACATTCTGTGGACTTGTCTTCTGCTTTTATTGATGTCTGAAAACATAGTAGCAGCAGCAAAGTATACTCGCACAGTAATCTTCAATGAAATGAAAAGGAAGGAAGAAAATTCAAACAGCAATATTTTGAAATATATTGACTTTCTTCAATAGTTTTCAAACATCAAAGGATTGTGTATTCTGTCTGCAAGTTAGTTTTCTGAATAAATTATTATTTGATTCATCTCCCTACGATCTATTTTTAGGCCTTTGGAATACTTTTGAAAGCAAAAGTCTTTTTTTTTCTTTTTTTCCCCTTTGGTTTGGATCATATGGTTTGGGATCTTACAGCTCTTTCTAGCTGCCTGGCAGATTCTCACACAATTAGCCTTCCAACAAATTCACTCTTGCTGGAACTTACTTCTTAGGAATTCCTCTGGTGCCCCATTGCACTAGCGAACGTCTGTATATTCTGCTGATCAAAGAGTGTCCCTCTTCATCCACTTATCAAATGGTTTATTTTTACATAAAGTGCCTGTTGACACCACAGCTGCATTTTCAAGCAAGGAAAGAGGAGAACTGCTGCTGAAAAGAAAGGATGATGTTAAAATTAAACTGTACATTTTTTGAAGTATATGTGGGGCCGTATCTGTGCCTTTGTGGGTTGTTGCTGTTTGACAGCCCAGCCAACTACCCTTGTAGTTGTCTTAGAAAGGGAGGAGGTGCCTGATGGCTGCTGGTTTAGCAGTTACCCAACCACTTTACTGTACCTGAGGGCCCTACTACATACTGCACAATTTCCCTATGTGAGGTTAAATTTAGTGCAAGTGGAAAAAATATACCCCCTTTAACATGCTTTAAAAAGATGTTTACCAGCTTTCACTTGAGACTGCCACAGACTGGAAAACAACCTGCAAATAGCTGTTACAAACCTACGTGAGTGAAGACTGTAGGCTCTTGAATAAAAAACAAAAACATGAAATTTTCTTTTTAATTTGGCTGTGGTCAGATCTGGCTTGCTCTGCAGTATAGTTTTGTGGTATCTGCTCTATTTAAATCATTTTTAATCTGCAACCTTTTCATCTTGAACTATTTATTCCATACTCGTTGCTATATTGTGATGGACAGTAGTATTAAAAGCAAAAGCAATTTTCTGTTAACTTCTGGATCTCTGAAGTAGACAAAGCAGAATTCTCTTCTCAAAATCCTTCTCAAGGATGTGATATAAGCCATGCCAACTGCTGAACTCACCAACCTTCTGTCAAGGCTCTATTCTATCAACATTCCTGTTTCTTCTAAAATCATAAGAGGCTTATAATACAAAATCATTTGCATGGCTTTGTCTTATTTCCATCACTTATGAGGCACAGAGGCATAAAATAGAGTCTAAGACCTTGTTTTCTCTCTTCTTTCAGTAACTTACTATTACTAATCCATGAGCCAAGGATGTGCCTTCCCATCCCCAGGTCAGACAAAAACCTTTGTTGTATTTATAGAAATTTCTATTTTCACTTCCCTTTATTTAAAATGGGTTAACAATGCATTCTGGTACAAAAAGATTTTTTTTTTGTGATAATTAAAATTTGAATTTCTTAGGTATTTTTGCTTTTTATTATGCCAAATCCTGTTGCTCTTCAGATAATGCTAGTTAGAAATACAGTGCTGTTTTCCAGCTTTATGCATATGCGACCTGAGTATGAAGTTGGTTGCCTATGTTTTTAACGTCATAGAATCAAAAAGTCGTAGAATGGCTTAGGTTGGAAGAGACCTTAAAAATCACCCAGTTCCAACCCCTTGCCACAGGCAGGCCACCTGCTAGATGAGGCTGCCCCATTCAAACTGGCCTTGAACTCTTCCACAGATTGGACATAATATTCTCATAATACTTTAAAGCATCTGATTTCCATGTATCATGTACATCCCTCTCACTGTTGCATACTTTTGACTTAAGGAAATACCAGCCACCAAAATCTCTGGAGTTTGTTCACACCTTTGCAGGTGATCTATGCTGCCTGAAAACTTACTGCACCAAGCAAACTCTTCCTTGTGATCTTGTTGACCTTCTACAACCACAATACAATGTGCATAGCAATCAATAACGTTTTGGGAAAAATATGTTGCAAAATAAAGAAATCACAGTCACTTTTGCCACTTAAAACAATCTGAATATAAAAAAAAAGACAATTGTCCATAAAACTTTTTTTTTAAAGGGCTCACCAGAAATAGTTCCACTTTATAAACAGTATACATTAATATGCTATTCATTCTTTCATGTGAAGATCAAAACGTGGCGGTGTATCACCTTGGGCAAAATCCTCAATAAACTGTATCCAATTAAGATTCTCCGAGGAGTTGTAGCTGATAATACAACACAGTGATTTCATATATAGATATGGCAAATACTGAAGGAGTTATTGTTCTAAAATTCTTGCAATTATTTTATAACCAGCTAAGCCAATTTTACCA